TAACGATCGGGTAAGTATGTATAATAATAACTTTTTATTTCAAACTATATAAATGATTAAATCGTAAGATATATATATATATATATATAAATTCTTATGATGGAGAATAAAAATGAAGAAATCAAGCATATATGTAAAGGTGATTATTCAGTATAACCGTATCATTTTCTCTTTTTTTCCTTCAATTGGTTCAGAAGTTTAAGTTTGAATTTTTAAAATCACAGGAGATTCCATGTGAAGGGAAAAAAAGAAAAAAAAAATTTGAATGAATAAATGCAAAAAAGGATTCGGTAAATTAAATTATCTCTATAAATTAGATATATTAGTGCAAGGAGAATGTGAAATGGCTAACCCGGGGGTTCTATTTCCGGGTAGCCATTTGTAATGTTACAATGGATTGAAAAAAAACTCAATCTTAATCCATACGCATCCGAGTCTTGGGTGTTTTCCTCGGTGCAGAAGATTTCCAACTACCAAGCTGAGTATTTCCAGATATAAAAAAATAAAAAGCATAACAATCCCTAGATGGGCTTAGCGGGCCGTCGAAGTACTCTAAGTGTACCTGACCCTCACCACCGGAACAGAAATGAACTTGAAATTTCTCAGTAGTACAGCAGTTTGATATTCGTACCTTACACTAGTAACGTAAAATGAATATTTTTTTTCGATCAGTCTTCTTACTGAGGTGAATGATTTCCAGAGGGTAATAAGGGGTATATAAGGCAGTGAGACTATGACAGCTGTGATGTGCCAATACACGGAATTGGATATTCCATCTTATCCGCTTCTAGACCCGATTTCGCCTAATTGAGTAGTATTAGAGGATTAATGCACGAAATCGGATATTCCAGTTAATCCTTGCCTAGACTAGTTGGCGACTGATTGAGTAGTACCATAGCTGCTGAAGTGGAGTGATCAGAATGACTGGTGGCACCGTGGGAGTTACAATTATGCTTGCAAAAACGGTAATACCAAGTTCTTGGTGTCATTCTCTAACGAGGGAGAGAGCCGTTCAAGGGGGTGAAAGGGCCAATAAGCTACCGTAGTACTCCCGTCCGTCCGACAGACGGATAACCATTTTTGGAATGCCGTCGATGGACGGGATGTATGTGCTGACAAAAACCAATCAGTATTGTGTGGCCATCAAGATGACGCGGTACACGTACCGTAACCACCCCAATATTTCCAAGGGGTAGTGCTACGTGTATACAAAAACTCAATCAACCCATTCCTACATCCCTGACTATCCAGGGGTGTAGGATTGGTGTTAAATTTGAGGGCCAGCCTCTACCTGACAAACGCTGTTATGTTTGTCGGGAGGAGGGGCATACTGCCAAAGAGTGCAGATACTGTGCCTCGCAACCCCAACCGTCTGTTCCTACTATTCCAGTCAATCAACGAATCTGGACTCCTATAATGACGCAATCATATGCTGATAAGT